CTCAAGGACCTATAAATAGAAATTCGATTTGACCCAGAATCCCATTACTGGGTATATGTCCAAAGGATTATAAATCGTTCTATTATAAAGACATATGAACACCTATGTTCCTTGCAGCACTGTTTACAATAGCAAAGACTTGGAACCAATCCAAATGCCCATCGATGATAGACTGGACAAGGAAAATGTGGCACATATACATCATGGAATATTATGTAGCCATAAAAAAACCAATGAGTTCATGACCTTTGTAGGGACATGGATGAACCTGGAAACCATCATTCTCAGCAAACTGACACGAGAACAGAAAATCAAACACCACATCTTCTCACTCATAGGCAGGTGCTGAACACTGAGAACACATGGGCACAGGGAAGGGAGCATCACACACTGAGGTCTATGGGGAGGGACTGGGGGGACAGAGGGGAATAGGGAGTTGGGGAGGGATAACATGGGTAGTAATGCCAGATATAAGTGATGGGGATGGAGGCAGCAAACCACATTGCCATGTATGTACCTATGCAACAATCCTGCATGTTCTTCAAATGTACACCAGAACCTAAAGTGCAAAGCAAAGCAAAAAAAAACCCACTGATCTCAAAATGAATTTAAAATGTTTAGCAAATGAACATAAAAATATCTAACATCATTAGACTGATCATTGAGACTTTATTTCTGCTTTCCTGGATAACATAAAAAGCAAATTTTGATGTGGATTTAGGGAAAGGGCAGTATTTTTCTCAAGGTACTTTTTCTTTTACTATCTAGAGTAATGGGTATAAGCAATCTCAAGGTATTTTTTCTACCTGCAGCAAAGACGATACTTCATTTTACTTAACAGCAATACCACCACCACATTCACTTTAAATTTCAACCACAAAAGCAGAATTTTAGAAAATCATTCTTGTGGATGTCATAATTTCATTCTGCTCATAATTCTTTCAGGAGCACTTGACATATATGCTTGTATTTAGTATATTTTAGTTCTAGAAGCAATCACACTGTATGTCAGGGGCCAATGCCCAGGAAGAAAGAGAGAAACCAAATGAAACCACAAACATGTAATGCATGCTAATGCTTAAGCATATTAGCATCAGTGCTCCAAGAAGTAATATTTTGCTGTTATGGTCAGTGGCCACATAGTACACTAAGAGGCAGAGCTACAAGTCATGCTTCAGAGGCGCCTATGAAGAACTTTGTATGACAAATCAGCTGTAATCCAAAGTGTTGCAGCCTGACGCATGAAGAGAAGAGTTCCTGGGCTTTATTTCTTAATGCACAGACTTAAAGTTAAATATCAAGATGAGATTAAGCATTTGAAGAATTCTGAGAAGGATAAAAATATTGTTCAGTTGGTTTTTAGAATGAGTCAGGGACTTCCTTCCAAGAGGGTGTCCTAGAGTAGCTGGCTGCTCTTGTTTCCAAATAGAGAGATTTATATCTCTATTAGAAATAACTCAAGCAAGAGATGACATGATAGAAAGCAGTAGCCTGAGAGTTAAGGAAAAACAAAAAACAAAAAGCAAAAAATAAAGGGCCTTAATTAGAGTCAAGTTATTCAGGGGTTTTACATCTGGCAAGAAGTAGCCTATCTTTGTTTATACCAACAGAAGCCCCCAGGAGAATCCAGCACACAGAATGCACAGAAGAATTTGGTCATACCTTTCCAAGTAGTTTAGTTTTCAAAAAATCCACCTTCCGTAAAGGGAAGAACACCCTAAGAACAAATTAGTGGTATGAAGGGACAGGAGAAAAAGCCTGTGCTCTGGTTGAGAGATTATTTTGTTGATTTCAGGTAAAAACCTAGGGCCAGATGCTAAGGTAGATGTTCCCAATGCTTATCTCTCCTCTGCCCCAGGGACATTGTGGTCTGTTACATTTGTATCCTCTCAACAGGGACAGCAGCAAAGTCTCAAAACAATTTTCCTAAGACAGAATCCTGAATCACAGAACCTGTGGAAATGTGCTAGGAGTAACAGTAGATTACTGGAACAGCAGTAGGAGAATGGAAAAATACTTTTTTTTTCCGGGTTAATCAGATTTCTTGTGAACAAATCCCAGGCCTCTACCCTTTACACTGCAAAAGGTAAACAAGACAAATAGATACTAAACATTCACAAGAAGGCTGAGTTCATGATTGATGCCTTTTACTGTTTAAGATCAGCTATAAATATGCTGTCCAGTGGTTTTTAATGGTGTGATCGTCTGACTCAGCAGACCAGTGTCAGGAAAGAAATTTACATAAATGGAAAGTGAAATCTTTCTGCAAGAAACAGGACTGTTAGAAATTGCTTAGGTAAGGAGATGCTCACTTACACAAACATGGATATACATATTAAACCTGTGCTCGCCAATATCTGCTCGAGCTTAAGTTATTGCCCATAAAAAAAGCTAAGATGTTTGCTTTTAATTTCCAAAAAGTCATCTCAGTTTCAATTTTACTTGGAATAAATTCTGCAAATTGAGCTGTCATTAGGAATAAGAAGAATAATTTCAAGCTGGTATCCACAAACATGACCAAGAACTCAACCTCAAACCTAGCACATATTTAGACAGCTTGGCTAAGGATGATAGCACCATACAAGACAGCCCCAGTCCAATGGGCCCTGCTCTCTAATGTGAATGGATCATATGAAAGAGCCTTCATTTCAGTGCAGCATGACACAGGCTCTGGAGTCAGACTGCCTGGATTCAAATCTTAAAGTAATTCCTGGCTATCTGACCATAGGAAAGGCAGTAAAGGCTCTAATCTATAATTTCCACTTTGATAAAATGGTCTGAAAACAATCCAGTGTAAATGTGAAAAATAAAGTTAGAGAATCCATATAAAACACCTACCTTAGAGTCAGCATATACTAAGCACAATAAATGTTTGTTGCTATTGTTGTTGTTGTTGTTGCTGTTACTATTACTACTCTTTTGCTCCTGATCATGTATTTCTGAGCCAGTTTTATAGATTAAATGATTCAACTCAATTCTTTACCCTTCTCTGCATCCTCATCTTTGCCATAGCTTCATTGTGGGTGGAGTGTGTTTTCTACTGCTTAACCTTGGACTCAGCCATATGAGTTGCTTTGACCAGTGGCCTATGTGTGGGGTGACAATGTGCCAGTTTGGAACCTGGGCATTGTGAGGATTCACTCACAGCTGCTGGCCCTCTGACACCTCGAGGAATGAGAGGGACGTGGCCCAGCTAGCCAGCTGATCCGAGGGGTGGGAGAACGAAGGGGAGCACACTTAGGCTGGGTGCAGTGGCTCATGCCTTTAATCCCAGCACTTTGGGTGGCCGAGGTGGGTGGATGATGAGGTCAGGAGATCAAGACCAGTCTGGCCAATATGGTGAAACCCTATCTCTACTAAAAATACAAGAATTAGCTGGGCGTGGTGGTGTATGCCTGTAGTCCCAGCTGCTTGGGCAGCTGAGGCAGGAGAATTGCTTGAACCCTGGAGGCAGAGGTTGCTGTGAGCCTAAATCATGCCACTGCACTCCAGCCTGGGTGACTGAGCAAGACTCCATCTCAAAAAAAGTGGAGCACACTCAGGTCATCATAGTTACAGTGGGATCAAGACACACCAGCCTGAATCAGAATCCTTCCCACACCCCAACTCCCCTGCATAGAGCTATAAGAAAAATAAAGGTTTACTGATGTATAGTACCAAAAATTTATGATTATTTATTATGGGACAAAAGCTAACTAAACGAAGGAGTTATTATTATGGGACAAAAGCTAACTAAACCTAAAGAGGTATCTATCCAGAGTGCATTTATTTCCCAATGAAAAAGGCATTATTTCCATGTCTAGTCTGAAACAAGAGTGGAAGGGTAAGTGTGAGAAGACAGGTGCTTCAACAGAATCAGAATTCTAGGTGCAGGGATGTTCTGTATAGTCTAATGGGGCCTTCTTGGCTTTGCTACAGGAGAAGGCAGACATTATTCATATCAAGATTATTTTCAGATAGCTAACATTTATCAGCATCTGGTGACAGGCACTGTGCTAAGCACTTGACACATATTGTCTCTTTTAGTCTTAACATCAGCACGAGGAGGCAGGTACTGCTAATTTCACAAATGAGGAAACTGAGTCATGTCAAGGCTAAGCAGCTTGCCTACATTCACAGAGGGAGAGAGTAGGCAAGGCAGAATTCAAACCTTGCACAATATGAGATCAAAAAGATGGTGATGAGAAATGCAAACATGTATCCTTCCTCTATAATCACTTTACTGTTTTCATCACATTGTGTGTATTAATTTACTTAATACTAGAAGCCTATGAAGTAGGTATTACTTATTATCACCATTCTACAGGTGAGGAAATGGGAAACAGCTGGCCAAGTCCCCGGCCTAAGTTTCCACTTAGGTAGTGAGGAGTGACCTGGACTTGAACATGACCCGTCTAGCTAACTAGTACACTGTATTAACAGCCATTCACACATTGCTCACCCTGAGGTGGAAGGACAGAGGCATGATCTTCTTTCTTTTTCTGGAAACCTATAAGCTTCTCCAAGTGTTCAAGAGGAAATATGCATTCCCGGCACCACGGTTTTCTTCAAGTGTATAAAATGTGATAAATGGCCTTTAATTTATACTACAATCACTCCGAGGCTCCACTGAGCTTTCATTCTTGCAAGCGCAATTGTCTTATTTGCTGCCTTTATGTTTACTTGTTTTTAGTTTTGTTTTTCTGATTGTGTATTTTTAGGCTCAACTCTCGGTTTACAAATTCAGAGGAATCCTAATGGAGTAATAAAAAGTATGCAAAAAAGAATGCTAATCATGATGGGTTTTTAGAGCTAATTCTAAGAAGTAAAAATAACCAGTTAAGGTACAAAAACAGCAACCAATTATTCCCCAGATCTGTTCATACACATATTTTCTGTATCTGGCAAGAAAACTTCAGTGGCCTCAAGTCGTCAGACACTTTCTCCATTCAGTCTCCAAGTACAACAGTCACATCTCCAAGTGCATTCTGAAATGATGTACAAATGTCATTTCTACTCACCTTAAAAGCAGCACCTCCATGAATGATGGATTTGATAAAAATCCCCAAGTCTGTTCCAGTTTCTCTAGATTTGTTCCCTTTCAAGCTCACCCCGAGGCCAGCAGAACCTGAATCATTCAGGGGTATCTCAAAGGTGAGCTGTTCGGTGGTCTCCAGGGAGAGTGCACAGCAGTCAGGTTCTCCTTTCTTTTAGGGGAATACACATGAAAAGAGTGAAGAGAAGAAAGAAGATTAATATTTCACTCTGTTGGATGAGCAGACACAGATGCAATCAGCAGGACAGGATGACTGGACCTCTAACAGCTCTAATCGGCTCCTGGCAGGCAAAGGCTGGTCTTCACTCACTGCAAGGAGCCACAATCCCATCCATGGAGCAGGGGAAGAGGTCTCAGGGAATAATAGTTGGTCATGGTCAACAGAGAGGATCGTTTGGCAAGTTAGAGTGATGCAATTTGAAATACCTTGTGAGACTTTGGAAATTCAGCAGGATATTCTCCATAATAAAAAAAGCTGGACATTAGACTTAGGGTATCCTGGGTCTCAGAAGAGATCTTCAAGATAACAGAGTCTTAACATCTTCACTTTACAGATGAAGACACAGAGCTTAGAGTAGAAGTGTCTTAAAATTTCAGGAAAATACCTGGCATATGTAATTTAAGACCTATCATACTACGGAAACAATACTACTGGTAAAGTTTGTTAATAAGACACAGAGCACTGAATAAATGAAATGTTATTTTAAAGTTACAGAAAAATGATTTATAATGGATATCATCAAATGAAATTTCACTTTGTCAAAACTCACGCTTTCAGCATGCATTTTTAGGTAGTATAACTCACTGCCATTAAAATTTTAAACCTAAATAAAAATGATTATGCACAACAAATATTCATGTCATATTTGACAAATGACACCTAGCTGCAAGCATACTGCTCTCCAGAAACACAGAGTATGGTGGCAAAAGGCATATTTTAGGGTACAGGTCTCCAGGGAGAAGTATGTGGTTAATCTTATTTGGTCCCTAGTATCTTCAAATATACAGCAGTGGGAACAGACAAGTGCTGTCCACATGAGAATCTTTGCGGGTCTCCCTTCTGTATTCCTCTCAAGCTTGTAGAAGTGTGAAACTGCCAGTGTTCAACTGGAAAATTTGAGAATGAGATATCCCTGGAAACAATCAACTCACTCCAGGTCGGCAGTTCTTTCCTCTCTATAATTATATCTAGAGACTCTTATCCTAAGGTCACATTGAAGGGACTCTTATGTAAAATTACATATTTAAAAAATTACTATGAATGTCTGAATGTCAGTCACATATAACTATAAAATCAGTAGCAAAGAACCCATAATTAAAACAGGATTAAGAGGTCGGATCACAGCCAGATCCACTGACATGACATTTTCAACCCCTCCCCAAATAGAGAAAATCCACATCTAACTTTAAAAGAAATAGTTCTTTCATTTAATTTTCTTGTAAATGAAGTTATCTGTGAAGATTTTGACGATAGGTTGGTCAAAGAAATGAAACTTTATGGCTTAACAAATATATTACAAGTTAGCGCTTTTAACTAACTTATTATTATCTAAAAAACAAATCCCATTATTTGATTAAAACTAGCTGTCTTTTTTCCCATTGGAATGACAGCGTTTAGTACTAAATGTAAACTATTAGCCTTCATCTTTGTCTTTCAAAACGCCCAACTTAGAATGCATAACGTTTCACAATCATTTATGTTTCCAGGCCTCTCTGGGATTTGCTTAATTTCAGTCTAATAATGTTCCACTGAATTAAAGTGCAAACTGAAGGAAACACTGTCCTACTATAAGTCTGTGAACACCATTTTATCAGAAAAACTACAAAGGTCCTCTGGCTTTTCTCTATCGGAGACAAAGAGACAAGAACTAGTTTTGCTTTAGGAATACCTTCAAATCACTTCTTTTTATGATAAAATCATTTCTCTTTTGGCAATTATATTTAATTCTCAGTAAGACTGACAATGACTCTTTGCACTGACACCTATCATTTATTATTTAAGTGGTAGAAACAAAACAGAAATCAGATCGAATTATGGTTATCTTTTCTTTTGAAGATTTTTTTTTTAAGTCTCTGACATCTGAGATTCAAAAATACAACAGAACTAATACACCAGAGGCAAACAATGATTGACTACTTCCTTTCTGAGTTCTTTGCACATATTAATACACTCACAACAAAGCTACAGGTTTACTGCCATGCCCATTTCACAGATGAGGAAACTGAGGTGCAGAGCAGATAAATGGCATGCTTACAGTCCAGAAGACTTGGAATGTGGAACCTTTGTGGGGCTCAGGCACAGCATGGTTCCTGTGTCAGACTCCCTTTTTTAATCTTTTCCTCTAGTGAATACTTTTGAGTAGTCTACTACATTTTCATGTTGGACATTATTCAATATCCATTTTCAACAACAGTATAGAATTTTAAGGTGGCACATTTTCTGTAGATAAACTATGATGTAAAAGGTGTTTTATTATTTTTTTCTTTTTAATAGTATACCTTAATTGACAAATGAAAATTATATATATTTATGGAGTACAACATGGGGAATACCTAAATTGGGCTAATTAGCACATGCATTACCTTACATTCTTGCCATTTGTGTCGATGTGTTGAGAACACTTAAAGTCTACTCTCCTAGAGATTGTCAAGTATAAACTATAATGTTGTTATTATTTTAAAACATAATGGCAAGAATGTAAGGTAATGCATATGTTAATTAGCTCAACTTAGCTATTATTTTTTGGAGACGGAGACTCGTTCTGTTGCCAAGGCTGGAGTGCAGTGGCACTATCTCAGCTCAACACAACCTCCACCTCCGGGTTTCAAGCAATTCTGTCTCAGCCTCCTGAGTAGCTGAGATTACAGGCACCCACCACCACACCCAGTTAATTTTTTTTTTTTTTTTTTGTATTTTTACTAGAGATGAGGTTTCACTACCTTGGCCAGGCTGGTCTTGAACTCCTGACCTCGTGATCCACCCGCCTCTGCCTCCCAAAGTGCTCGGATTACAGGCATAAGCCACTGTGCCTGGCCCTACAATGTTATTAACTTTAGTCACTATGTAGTAGGATACACTTCTTGAACTTATTCCTCCTAACTGAGATTTTATGTCATTTGGCCAACATTTCGCCAATCTCCCCTTCCTCTGTGTCTGTAACCAGCATTCTATGCTGTGAGTTCAACTGTTAGACTCTTCACTGCTATACTATACTGTATCCTTGTGTCTCAACTTTTGTCCATCCCGTGATTTAACCTACCCCTCAAGAAATTCCAGAACAGATTTCTACAATGACAGTAAGACACCATGCTATTTACATTCTTCACCCAAGTTCAGTTATGTTTTATCTTTCTTATGCTATACCAAGCTTAAGCCATAATTAGTGCCCTCCAATAATAGCAAACTTCCCAAATGGTAAAGGAAGCCATTATGGTAGTTAACACAGCCATTTCCTCTGTTAGAAATAAATGTCCCTTATCTAACATTAAAAAAATCAATATGCTGAATGCTTCCTCCCAATAATTCTGGTTCAACCAGTAACTCTGACAATTAAGCTCAAATCTTCCCAGACAGCATTTTGTAGCAAAATGAAAATGGGTATAAAGTACTCCAAGTGCCCTAAATGCAAGACCTTAGCGATATGACGATCTCACAAGCAGTGGTGCATCTAAACCTTGGATTCTACCTCACTTCCATCTTTCAGACAACAGCTCTTTTCACGCACAGATATAAAGTGCAAACACACACATGCACATACACAAAGTCTGGCTGGTGTAGTCAGAGAAATCTTGTTAATTTCATTTATGTTTTAAAACTTTTCATTATTTGTTATTCTTTGCCACTAGAAACCAAGTCTCTAGATACAACATCCTTGAGATTCCCAAAGCCATGCCCAGAATGGGCACTCTAATGCTTCCCCCGCTTAGGTGTAGGCCTTATGACCAGCACCTGCCCAGGGCCGATCATACAGAACCCTCAACTTAGGCTTTTTTGACCTCAGCACAGCTGATATTTGAAGCTAATATTTTTTTTTTGTTGTGGGTGTCTGTCCAATGCATTGCAAGATATTTGACTACTTCCTTGGGGACTACACACCAGATATTAACAGTACCTCTTTGCCAAGCTGTGACAACCAAAAATGCCTTCAGACATTGCCAAATGTCACCTGGGGTCAAAATCACCTCCAATTGAGAACTACTGCCCTGAATCAACAATTGCCAAGTGCAGTCAAATTCAAAGCAACCAGTGCCCAGAAGGTGTTTTAGCAACTGCTGGCTGCGTGGCTGCCTGTTCATATGTTCCCAAGTCCCAGGATAGGGAGGCAGTTTTTACTGAGAGGGATGCCAGATGTCACCAAGTGGAAAAAACAAGATATATTTTAGCACAATTAACTTGAAAAAGTGTTAGATCCACAGGTTCATGACTGAACACTTAGTTGGTCAGAATCAACTACTGGAGAATCACATAATTAGCTTTATTTCTAGTCATATGGCAGCTAATTTTCCAGAGGAAGTATGATTTCTGTGGGATGAACAGAGTAGGACAGGTGGTAGAAAACAGAAATTTATTAGTACATATACAAAATGTTTCCTTTTACTTATATAGGAATCCAGAATGGGGCAGGGTGCAGTGGCTCATGCCTGTAATCCCAGTACTTTCAGAAGCTGAGGTGGGCAATCATTTGAGGTCAACAGTTTGAGACCAGCATGAACAACATGGTGAAACCCTAAAAATACAAAAATCAGCCAGTCATAGTGGCACTCGCCTGTTATCCCAGCTACTAAAAATACAAAAATTAGCCATTCATAGTGTCACTTGCCTATAATCCCAGCTACTCAGGAGGTTGATACAGGAGAATTGCTTGAACCCAAGAGGTGCAGGATGCAGTGAGCCAAGCTTGCGCCACTGCACTCCAGCATGGGTGACAGAGTGAGACTCTGTCTCAAACAAAAACAAAAGCAAACAAACAACAACAACAAAAAACAACCCCCCCCAACCACACACATACACAAAGAATCCAGAAGGAAAATGCAACCTATCAAGTGAGGCTTGTTAGGCCAGCTATGCTTATATGTATGCTTTTCTTGGTGATTTTTTATTAAGAATGATAAAATCACATAAAATAGTATAAAATACTATTGGCATGACTT